AGATGATAGGTGATGTTTCAGGCAATGGTCCTTCTTCATAGCACACGTATGCAGCCCCATGTTGTCAGCACAAGAGAAGTAGGTAGCTTCCTTCGTACGAGGCAACGAGACTCACTCTCTCATCACGGGTGAAAATTCCACATTCCTATGGCGCATTAAACTCAACTCTCATGCTGCCGTTATGTAATGATTTAGCTGACACTGGACCTGCAATCGAGGGATCCATGGTGCGTATACCATCGCTCTCTCAGCGCAACAGTAAATAAGTCATACTAAAAAAAAACTTGTTTTAAACACGCTTTCATGAAATGTACTCGTAATGGAAGAACTCCACAACTCCAGGAAGTGGCCTCGAAGCTTGCCATAACGTAAGAGGCCGTGGTCAGTTACAGCCAACGCCAGTTGAGCGTGGACAATTAGACCAAAGCCAAAACATAACATCTAAAAAATAATGTTTTTAAAAACATGTTTTTTTATTTTTTTATGATAGAATATAGTATTGTCATCAGTATGACGTAAGTATGCCAAGTTTGCAGTAGATACCATATTGGGAAGTGGGTTAAAATTGAGTTACAAGATTTGAGGATACGACAACAACAGTGAGTTAAATAAAAAAAAGTGTAAAAAAAGAGTGTAAAAAAAATTAACCCGTAAAAACAAAGTTTTTCACTCTAAATCCTTTATATGCGTGGCGGCTAGAGTCCTCTCGTCCTCTGGCTTGAGATGGCTGCCACCTATGGGTCAGATAATTGTCTGCCAGTATTAAGCAATTGGTAATTAAATATTTATTTATTTTTCCCTAAACAGTGTAAAATTTTGGAAAACATTTTTCACGAAAATTAATTGTCACGCACAACGAGTCTGTGTGGAAAATGTCAGCTCGATTGGATCACGGGAAGTGGGTTAAAAAACGACCAAAAGATTTGCACGGTCGTAAGCAAGCAAGCAAGCACGCAAGCAAGCAAGCAAGTGAACTTAATATAAAGGATTTAAAAACACAATGGCCAGGCTTCTTAAACTCCCCTTCCAACCAACCCCACCTGCCCACCAAGCGATAACAAATGGGTACACGCCACAGAAAGGTAATCGCTCAAATTACTGCTAATATAAGCTTCCTCGGTTCAAGAAAAAAAAACATTAACTCGCATCTCGTAAAATTCTGATACATACCCGTCAAAGCCTCATCAGTGCCTACCGTATTACAGACCAATTCCGACCTTATTGGTCACTCCGTGCCCTTAGAAATCTCAACGTTCATCCTACAAAATCCCATCATAAGGGATAAAATCACAAACAAATAAAAAAACGCTTTTGCCCGTATTGAAACGGCTGTACGCCGTATGGACCTGAAAACTCAATTTCCCCTGTAAAAGAATAACAGGGGACAGCCGTATGGGGGTGACAGCTATGATACCTATCCAAACACATTCCTGCGAAGGGAGCTGGCCGACGTGAGTAGGTTAAACGTTATAGCCTAAACGTGATGTAAGTGTACCTTTCGCGTAACACTTTCATGAATCGCAAATGATTGACTCTCACACGCAAGGTTTGACGTATGTATGGTGAGTGTGACAATAGATGCCTGATTGTGTGCCTACGATTAGCTCCCTGATTCACCCAAGCAGAACCGTGCATCATGAGGTGGACGGGTGGCTTCACAAGTCAGATTGCTGAGCTTGCATCGCTGAGATCCGAGCTTCAAATGCAGGCAGCCAACTGTTAACACATTCCTGCGGAGGGAGCTGGTAGGAACGTCGGGTTGCTCGGTCAATGGCCAGGGTGGTGTATTCTGCAAATATGGCCGACTGTGAGAACGGGCACAAGCCGGCATGAGTAGGTTAAACGTTGAGTTTTATAAGGGCACCACGGGGTGACCAGCTCCTCCCCACCCAGCCCCACCCCACCCAGCCCCACCCCACCCAGCCCCACCCCACCCAGCCCCACCCCACCCAGCCCCCTCCCCCCAGCCCCACCCCTCCCATTATTGTATGCACGACGGACGGACGGACACAATAATCCCCTGTGGGCTTGTGTAACCAGGTGGTTCCTACCAGTAACAGGACCCTCCTGTCAACCCAGTTCAGACCCCCTAAGGTCGGTCACGGAATTGTTGCCTCTTCCCACACAAAATGGTTGCTTGAATCAATGCACAATTATTTGTGCCATCCGATCCAGGATCTTTGTTCTTGGGACCACGCAGAGAACAGGTTCTAGTACATATTCTTGGTTCTTTCGGTAAAGTCACTTCGATAGAAAATATAAATAATAGAATTTAATTAAAAATAAATTGAAAATAATACAAGCAAAAAAAAAAATAAAAGCTTTTTTTTTATTTGCAATTACATTTTATTTAACTATTTTGATCGTGGCTTTTTGCTTTTATTTTCAATGTATTTTTCTTTTATTATTTTATTTTCTATCTACGTGACTTTACCGAAAGAACCAAGAATATGAATTCCTGCAGTCACGAAAGTTCTCAGTCAAAATTTAGGTTCCAGCAATTGTGCCGTGTGGAGAACGACGCCGCATCTCTATAAAAGTGCTAGAGCCCAATTACGGTATTTGTGATATGAACAGCGCTCATTTAATAATTGTTACCACGTTAGCGCTGTAGGATGTGTTTAAAAAATCATTTTACAGACGCGTATCAATCCACCGTTAGCAGGGCAAGGGTCTCCCCCACGGCGGTACAGGTCGTGAAGGGGGCAATGACGATACGTCACCACGCTGGTGACAGTGAGGAGCATAGAAGTGAGAGAATAGTACAGCACAACATTGCTTTTTTTACTCACTAATTAATTCTTCTGGGGGTACCAAATCATAAAAAATTAACCCGTAAAAACAAAGTTTATCACTATAAATCCTTTATATGCGTGGCGGCTAGAGTCCTCTCGTCCTCTGGCTTGAGATGGCTGCCACCTATGGGTCAGATGATTGCCTGCCACCATTAAGCAATTGGTAATTACATATAATTTGTTCCTAAAAAGTGTCAAATTTAGGAAAAAAATATTCACGAAAATTAATTGTCACGCACAACAAGTCTGTGTGCAAAATGTTAGCTCGATTGGATCACGGGAAGTGGGTTAAAAAACGACCGAAAGATTTGCACGGTCGTAAGCGCGCAAGCAAGCAAGTGAACTTAATATAAAGGATTTAAAAATGGCCGAGGCTATTAAATATTTTATTTATGGGACAATATTTTTCCCAGGGGTATTACTTAATTCCGTGACTGGGGTACCAATCAATCCGAAATCAGTGCCACACTCCGCGATGTCAAAACGTCAAACATTAGCATTAAAAAAATCCGTTGTCGAAAAATTCAACTTTTAATAGTGCATCGTGCACAGCTCGTCGAGATGATTCGATTGCCGCATCGCTGACCATCAACACAGACTAAAAATGAATTTTTATACTCTTTGGTTCTTTCGGTAAAGTCACGTAGTTAGAAATTGAATTAAAACAAATCACGACGTTTCGATCGCAACACAAGCGGTCGTCATCAGTCACGAAAGTTTCAAACCAAGAATGAATTTTGACTTTAAACTTTCGTGAATGCAGGGATTCATATTTTCGATTCTTTCGGTAAAGTCACGTAGATAAAAAATATATTTTTTATTCAATTTTAAAATTGAAAATAATAAAAGCAAAAAACCCACGACGTTTCGATAGCAACACAAGCGGGGGGGGGGGGGCAAGCCTCAAAATGCAACTGCTTCTAAGGTTTTTTTGCTTTGATTATTTTCAACTTATTTGTAAAAATATATATTTCATTTTTCTTTTCTAACTACGTGACTTTCCCGAAAGAACAAAGAATAACACCATTGGAACCTCCTTTGCCAGTAGCAAAATGAGAATTGTTTTTTTACCCTTTTATCTGCCAACAAAACTGACACCTTTTTTACAAGGAGTCATGTTTGCATTTACCACAATACCTGCGGTCGGAATACAAACAAAAAATTAACCAAGAAAAAGACTAAAAATGACTGCATCAAGGACATGGTACCGCCACAAGGTTCAATTTACCTATTTTCAATGAGAAAACTTGTGAATTTGTGGCTTTCGTTCACGTAAAGCCCTGGTCACAAAAGCAGTTTGTGTGGCATAGCCATTTTCTAAACTTTAGGCATAGGCAATTAAAAAAAGTCACATTTAGTACCCAGGAACAAAAATTGTGTTACTCTTTGGTTCTTTCGATAAAGCCAGGTAGGTATAAAATAAAGAAAATTAAACCACGACGTTTCGGCCACAACACAAGCGTCCTTCATCAGGTGGGACAACCACAGCAACTTGTTATGACTTTACCGAATGAACCAAAGAGTATTGATCGTTGCGGCCACGAAAACTTCAAATCTAGAATAAAATCACCTATTCCCATTCTTTTACTTCCAAGTACTAAGTCTAATCATCAACATCTGGATTGAGGTCTTCCTCGTGCGACTGAATACCACTCCCAATGCCTCTCAGTGCCATGTCAAAGTAACATGTGGAGATGTTCACTTTGACACGGAACAATACGATGTGTCCATGCGCGTCTCTGTATGGGGCACGGCAGTGAAGTTGTTAGCGCTACGAACCCGGCCACCAGAGTTCGACTCCAGCCCACGGCCAACAGCACCGGGTCCTAGGCCTCCCCCCTAGGTCGACTCGGCCTCAAATGAGTACCTGCTGCGGTGGTGTAGCAAACACCGCCAACTGGCAGAGACAAAGGCGGCCGGGCGTGGTGGTGGTGCTTGCCACCCACGCCCTCCTCGTGGTGCCACAGTGCCGGCCTTCATAGCTGCTACTCGCTAACAGCACTTGCCCCTGCAGTCTGTTACAGGCTACACGGGGATCTTTGTCTTTGCATGTCTGCCAACACGTTTTTTTGGTTTTTCTGCTGGAGGCGGCGCCACGTTCCAAACTAAAATCGATGCCCACCACTCTTTTTAAAAACCCTACTCGCAAACAACAACAACAATCTCCACCAACAACCCACCCAACCACCCACCGCACCCTCTCACCGTCGCTCCTATTGATCATGACCACCATGCCGACCTCGACTCCTTTCGTGGCCATTGCTGGGCTTCACTCTCCAACGAAAATTCAAAGAAAATCAACCAAAAAAAAATTGGGGAGGCACCTAAAAATAACACACAACAACAACGACGACGACGAAGTTGGTTGAAGGGGAGGTTTGTTTGTCTGACCTCTACCAACTCCACACAAACCCACAGACAACAACAACCACCGCCGCTGCTCAGCGTCTCTGCCGGTTCCTTTTTTAAACTTAGCGGCCTTATGGGAGGTTCACTTGTGGCACCTCCCAACAAACTACTCCCCCCCCCCTCGTACGTCATCACGCACGCCTTGCGTCATCACGCACGCGGGCCGCGCGCGCGTTGCGTCATCACGCACGCACGCGAGCCGCGCGTGTCTGCGTCATCACGCACGCGAGCCGCGCGCGTTGCGTCATCACGCACGAGAGCCGCGCGTGGCTGCGTCATCACGCACGCACGCGAGCCGCGCGCGTTGCGTCATCACGCACGAGAGCCGCGCGTGCCTGCGTCATCACGCACGCACGCACGCGGACGTGATGTTATAATGTTGTTAGTATTACGATTATTATGGAATCAACTTTGGTCCGTTCGTTTATTCTTTAACAGTGTGCACTGTTTAATGGAATTTCATATTAAACTTTCGTCTGTCCGTGCAATGTTGAACGGTAGCTCAATTTTGATTCGCGCACTTACCCCCCCCCACCACCCCTTCGTGACGTCATCGCGCACGGCGTCTGCGTGATGACGTTGCGGGAACAGCGGTCGCGCGCATCCCCACCACCACCCCTTCGTGACGTCATCACGCACGGCGTCTACGTGATGACGTTGCGGGAACAGCGGTCGCGCGCATCCCCCCCACCACCCCTTCGTGACGTCATCACGCACGGCGTCTGCGTGATGACGTTGCGGGAACAGCGGTCGCGCGCATCCCCACCACCATCCCGTCGTGACGTCATCGCGCACGGCGTCTGCGTGATGACGTTGCGGGAACAGCGGTCGCGCGCATCCCCCCCACCACCCCTTCGTGACGTCATCACGCACGGCGTCTGCGTGATGACGTTGCGGGAACAGCGGTCGCGCGCATCCCCCCCACCACCCCTTCGTGACGTCATCACGCACGGCGTCTGCGTGATGACGTTGCGGGAACAGCGGTCGCGCGCATCCCCACCACCACCCCTTCGTGACGTCATCACGCACGGCGTCTACGTGATGACGTTGCGGGAACAGCGGTCGCGCGCATCCCCCCCACCACCCCTTCGTGACGTCATCACGCACGGCGTCTGCGTGATGACGTTGCGGGAACAGCGGTCGCGCGCATCCCCCCCACCACCCCTTCGTGACGTCATCACGCACGGCGTCTGCGTGATTACGTTGCGGGAACAACGGTCGCGCGCCTCCCCCCCCCACCGTGACGTCATCGCGCACGGCGTCTGCGTGATGACGTTGCGGGAACAACGGTCGCGCGCCTCCCCCACCATCCCGTCGTGACGTCATCACGCACAGCGGCTGCGTGATGACGTTGCGGGAACGGTCGCGCGCGCCCCACCCCCCCCACGTCGTGTGACGTCATCGCGCACGGCGGTGGCGTCATCGCGGCGCTTTGAAAGGGCTCGCGGGTGACGGAAATGTAATGTGACGTCACGCGAAAAGGTGAAAGCGTCGGATGACGTCATCGCGCGGCATTCCAGTAAGCGGGACCCAGATATGGAGATGATTACGTGAAGAACCTTATACAATTGACTGTGTCGGGTGGTGGCGGGTTTAACGACACATTTAAATATCTACACGATCTAACCCCCCCCCCCCCCAAAAAAAAATCCCATTGTTTTATGGATATAGATGCTGCTAAAAAAACACATTCCTCCTGCGGAGGGAGCTGGTAGGAACGTTGAGTTGCTCGGTCAATGGCCAGGGTCAACGGCGGCGTGGTGTATTCCGCAAATATGCCCGACTGTGAGGGCGGGCACAAGCCGGCGTGAGTAGGTTAAACGTTGAGTTTGATAAGGGCACCATAGGGTGACCAGCCCCTCCCCACCCCCCACCCAGCCCCTCCCCACCCAGCCCCACCCCTCCTACCCCCCACCCAGCCCCTCCCCTCTCCACCCAGCCCCACCTCTCCCACCCCCCACCCAGCCCCACCTCTCCCATTTTTTGATGCACGACGAACAGACGGACACAATAATCCCCTGTGGGCTGGTGGAACCAGGTGGTTCCTACCAGTATAACATAGTGTATTGTGTAGTATATAGTGTAGTGTATAGTACTGGACAGTAGAACCCATCTTAACGACCAGCCCCTGTTAACAATTCTTTCCCTTAACGACAAAAACTCCATAGAGGCCAATGTGTAGTGTATAGTAATGTAGTGTATTGTGTAGTATATAGTGTAGTGGTGTATAGTACTGGACATTATAACCCCTCTTAACGACCAGCCCCTGTTAACGACGAGCCTCCATAGAGCAAAATGTGTAGTGTATAGTGTAGTTTAGTGTATTATATAGTAGTGTAGTGTATAGTGTAGTATATATTAGTGTATTGTATCTAGTAATGTATAGTGCAGTGTATAGTGTAGTATATAGTAGTGTACTGTACAGTAATGTATAGTGTAGTGTATAGTAATGCATATTGCAGTGTATGATGTAGTGTATATTAGTGTAGTGTGTAGTACTGTACAATATAACCCCTGTTAACGACTAATCGCTTAACGACGGCCCTCCATAGAGCCCAATGTGTCCGCTTACCGACCATTCCCCTGTTGTAGGTACAGTAAATATGAATGCATCAATTAACCATGTTTTAAAAAAATATATGTTTATAATGTATCTTTATCTATTAATATATATTGTTTAAATATTACAAAGTACGTTTTTTTGGATGAAAAAGGGGAACTTTGGATGCCACGAATTAAGCCTTTAACGTGAATTTCCTATATTCGCTTAACGACCAAATCTCTTAGCGACTGGTTTCGTGGAACCATTTACCGTCGTTAGCATTTATGAAATTGCATAAACAAAAGCACACACACACACATCATGCATACGTAAACAAGTATTTAATGAGGGAACGGAAGAATTCTAAATTAAATAATAAACACATCTCCACGAGGCCACAACGTGGTGTATATCGTAAGCCTCCTGAATTTATGTTTTGACATCCGAACATACCAAGTAAATAAATATTCTGATTCTGAAAGTTTTGTAAAAATGGCAATCAAACTAGGGGTTCTGGATAAAAATGCAATAAAAAAATTGGCAAATTCTGCGAAAAATGTAAAATATATAAAGCAAAACGATGAATCCTGAATTCTACATCCGCAATGCCCTGAATACGATTAACCTTTTAATTCTATAATGTTCCAGTAGAATTTCCCTTAACCATCACCCTCGTGTATATGTTCAACTTCTTTCGCACCGTACGTAGCCAACTGCGCTAATCGGACGTTCAGGGGAAGGACAACAACCAAACACAAACGGCAGCTCTAAAGAAATTAGTTTTCAATCTCAATGATTTAAAAGTGCATAGCACCCAGTGGCTTCCTAATACCGGAAGAGCTTTCCAGACGGCCGCAGAAGCGCATCTGAAAGCGCGCGATGCAGCGACCATCTTTGTTTGATGGTTCGCTAAAAGATATTATCTAGCCATGTAATAATTCCACGCTCTCAAACGCAACCCCAGCTATTCGATAAATTATCCCAAATCGGGGGTTTAAATCATTTCCAGAATTATGGAATTTCTTTGCCTCGTTTTTAACATCTAGATGTTTTTCTCTCTCACTTTGCCGTTTTTCTTGCCATTATAGCCTAAACGTGATGTAAGTGTACCTTTCGCGTAACACTTGCATGAATCGCAAATGATTGACTCTCACACGCAAGGTTCGACGTATGTATGGTGAGTGTGACAATAGATGCCTGATTGTGTGCCTACGATTAGCTCCCTGATTCACCCAAGCAGAACCGTGCATCATGAGGTGGACGGGTGGCTTCACAAGTCAGATTGCTGAGCTTGCATCGCTGAGATGCGAGCTTCAAATGCAGGCAGCCAACTGTTAACACATTCCTGCGGAGGGAGCTGGTAGGAACGTCGGGTTGCTCGGTCAATGGCCAGGGTGGTGTATTCTGCAAATATGGCCGACTGTGAGGACGGGCACAAGCCGGCATGAGTAGGTTAAACGTTGAGTTTTATAAGGGCACCACGGGGTGACCAGCCCCTCCCCACCCACCCAGCCCCACCCTCCCCAGCCAGCCCCTCCCCCCTCTCCCCACCCAGCCCCTCCCTCCCCACCCAGCCCCTCCCTGAACGACGGACGGAAGCAATAATCCCCTGTGGGCTGGTGTAACCAGGAGGTTCTTACCAGTATTAACCGGGTGAGAAAGTGATGCCCCCACACTGTGTAATCCAGAGGTCATTTGAAGACATCTCAGGAGTAGTTGTACAATATATCCGCTTCCACGGGCCATTATCTAACATGAACAGTGGCACCCGCTCGACGAATAAATTTGGGGAAACAAGACAAAAAATTTTTTTTTTTACAAGAGGCGTTAGTTCTCCGATACGTTTTCAGGTTGTATCACTATCGTTCGGCATGACGGTCTGCCGTTTCGCTCCACGCGCCGAGAGTTTCTCTCGCAAATATAAATCGACACGCGCTGGAGGGACGACCCCCGAAAACGCAGCGAGAGAGCCCCGCCGTGCAACCGCTTAAAAACCTACGCGGTAGCAAAAGAGGAGTTCTGAATCTCCCATCCGCCATCGCAGTGGACCGGGCTATTCGCTTCCCCGGAACGCTGCGCACCCCCCTCCCCGGCGTGCTTCAGCAGGTGCACCTTGAGGTTGCAGAGTCGCGTGAATCCTTGGGCACACACGTCGCAGCCGAACGGCTTCTCGCCTTTGTGGCTGCGCTGGTGCCTCTTCATGTTGCTGCGCTTGGAGAAGGCGCGGCCGCACGCCTCGCACCGGTAGGGTCGTTCGCCCGTGTGCGTACGGGTGTGCCGCCGGTAGTTGGAGTACTCCGCGAAAGCGCGGCTGCACACGTCGCAACGGAAGGGGCGCTCACGCACCGCCGTTGCCGCCGTCGCTGCTGCCGAGGGCGCGACGCCTGCCGCTGCCGCCGCGGTGACCGCCACCGACGGCCACGCCGCCGCCGCCGCCGCCGCCGGGCTGTCGCGACAGTCGCCGCTGTCGGCGAGGAGCCCTCGTCCCGGTGAGCAATCCGGTGAGCATTTCACCGGGAGGGTCGACTCGTGCCAGTCTTGTG